CATTTCATGTACCATCCCACTCTTCATAACGTTCTGGTTAGTTATTGCGAGGGGTGATGGTGTACATTGGGTGTCACAGGAGATGTACATGTTTGGACACATCAAGCAAGAAGCTGCCAAATGGAATTGTGACAATGTCTGTCTCCAAACTGATGTGATATACAGACCCCTATGGTATATGCATGGAACTCTTACTGTAGTACTGCACTAATTATTCCTAAGGGTAGGAGATCATTGTTGGCATACTGATGCTGTTCCAAGCCCTAAACAGTAATGCTTTCTGGGGATGTCTGAAATTTTGGATCATGAAACTTACACAGAGTCTTGGACTGTGTTGCCACATTGTCACACATTGAGCATGCATGCATTATTAAACTGGGTACAATGTTCTGGCTTGTTCATGCTTCAACAGCAGTAACAGCAACATAATAAACTTGCTCTACTCTCATCATAAATTTTAGGATCACTCTAGGTGGTCTTAAGGCCAGACTTTAACAGAGTATGATTTTGACAGCATGCCTCATTTATTGTTTTCAGGAGCATATGCCAGTTGTTGATGTTGTTGACACATGTTTCTGCCGGCAAATGGCAGAACAGGAGGCAGCTCTGGGCAGATAAAAGGCAGATACTCTATTCACTGGCAATGCCACATTAATTGCAATGAGTGAATCTGTGTCTGAAGGAATAACTACATGTTTACCATATGACAATCTAGATGGAGCCAGGGACATCCATGGAAACAAATTGAAGGGCATAAAACTGCCTGTGTCAGCCTGGACATTGCCTTTCTTAAAATTACCATACATGGTCCTGCTGACCCACTCAACACAAGCCATATGCACCATCCACATGTCACAACATGACAACATTACTGCGTTGCGTGTTATGACGAATCACACGTCACGACCTTACTGACACCTCAAAACCTTTCCTGCCCAGAATTTTGAGTTGCTTTTGAGGTGGGCTGTTTTCATTTGCCTTGCTGGAGTGGTGGCTTTGGGGTCCTGGCAAGGAATCGTGCCCAAATACCAGCTCCGCAAATACCCTGTTAAACTTATTGGAAAATATAGCCTGTGGTTGTAATATACATGCTGCAATGTTTATGCTTCATCAGAAACGAGTGATGACGTGCGTTATTGATTTAACTCGAGTAGTGCTGCGATAAATGGCCATCACATTCGTGTGTAGCTCCTCCCCGCACCTACCCTCACACGTTACGAAATGCTGCTACATGGACAGGAGTTAAATTATATTTTGATTGTTACTGGGTAGGCAAATGCATCCACATTTGCCAACATGTCCTCCCAGCTGAGGGGTTTTCTGAGACCAAGGGTGGGTCCAAGCGGTGTGAGGCAGCTGGACCGATGGATTAAATTGGGCAATAAAATAACTTCTTCCTGGACTGATGAAAATCTAAGCAATCTTGGCTTTAAACTGTTCGTTCTTAAAGCATTCCTGGATGCAAAAGGAGGCGAAAGATAATCAGTGTTTAAAAAATCAGGGATTTTAGCCCTCAAGCTGTAGCTATGCTTAAAACGCGGCCCTCTGAACCCGCCCTTGACGGAGACGCATGGCTAACTGAGGAAATCCAGCAGCCTGTATGCGGAATGGTATGGATGCGTCGAACTAGGTATATGTGGGAACCAGGGCATTCACTTCTCTCCCAAAAGTTTCAGATGTTAAGAGTGGGCAAAGTCCTCCCATTCCCGTGGTGATGGACAGTATCGCCTCCACAGTGAAAGGTCTGAAACATTGAATTAAATATAAATATTTATAACAGTCAGTGATCGCTCGGATCTGGTTCCTGAGGCCGATGTCTTTGCTCCGGTGCACGCCGCGTCTGCAATTGACGTCTCCGCGATAAACAGGCTGGTTCATGAAGACTTGTAAGAGGCAACGGAAGCGAAATGTCCCCATTTGAGCTCCGTTTGCCTGTTTTGAAAGGAAGTGTTAAATCTGAGTACCGCTGTCAGCGGATTTGTGGGCGCTCGAGGACAGGCTTACGATTTTAAGTTTGACGGATGGAAAAGTTATCATTAGGTTCGCGTTATGGCATTGAAAAGGATGTTTTTTTCTGAAAGAGAGGGTTTTTTTGCATTTCGTTGCATTTCGTTGCACAAGCGTTTCGTTGTTGAAAGACGATGTGCATTTGTTACGCTGACGGCAATTATATGAGGCGTGCATGAATAAGGTACCTTAACGGCATGCATTTGGCCCACCGAAGAACAGGGTTTTTATGACATGCATTGAAAATTCCACCATATTCTTAAACGACATGCTTTGTTTGCGAGTTGCTCACTTAGAGTGCGGTAATGCATTCGCAAAGTTTTGGTTTTCCCGTCGAACCGTGTAGTGTTTTTATTATTGGTGCTTTGGAATATGGTAGCCCTCACGTGATATCCTTTTCAACTACAGTTGGGCTTACGGCTACGTTACGTCAACGTTAGCTGCACAAAACGATGCAGGAATTGGTGCTGGTATTGTCTGTCTGGGCCAGAAAAGGTGCTCTTTTGAATCACAACTTACCCCTTGCTCCACAACAAAATGAAGTTAGGTTCCTTCCTCTTCGGTACGTGGCAAGGCACATAAACTTTGGTAGTTCTCAAACGTATGGCGGTTTTGGATGACGCTTGTAAGTAATATGTGACATCGAGTGGCTATTAAATACATAATACAGCCGAACGAATGCGCCTGTTATGGGACACTGTATCAGTTTGTTTATAGTTCATTTCACTATTCAAAAACTGGCCGGAAATAATTGTAGCGATTAACGGGCTGGCCACTTTTTCTGACTATAGTGCGTGGTGACTCCTTGCTTTCACATGGTCAAAAATGCCTGTGTTTATTTCATAACCCCTGCGCATTCTGATGCAGCTGAGCCAACTTTAGAAGACAAACGGTTCATTACTCTAAATGCCCATGCCTTGTTCTCAGATGTATTGTCCCGCGAGTGCTCTTATTCGGATTGCATTTGGCAATAAATTTCGTTAGCATCCACAACTCAGGACCGTTTGGGCAGCGAATTTTCCTTGGGGACGTTTTGGCCGATTCGTGGCATGATTATGTCCTTATGATGGCCCATTCATCAAGCTCTGATCATCGATTAGGCGACGCTTCATAAGCGTATTACCGTGCTCCATATACCGACAAATTGTGACTGCTCTTTTTCACTGCGTGATAAAACAAAGTTCGCTGCAGCGGAGTACATCTGTAAAGCTGCAAATCGCCAAGTCCACCCTGTAGTTGTGTGCTCAGGTCCGTCTGACGTGTTGCTCAGAACAAAAAACACATCGGGCTGGCCGTCATGTCTCGCGCAGAACTGATGTGGGTAATCATTCTGAGGGGTCACTCGCATTGTTCCACTCGACTCCTAACCGAAACGGCGTAGGCGTTATCACCAAAGCTGAAGTATGTAGGACACATCAGAAGCTCGCGTCGGATACCAGGCAAATAAGGACATTCAAGCAAAACCGACGCGCCAAATCGGGCCCAGTGAATGGGGCGGATGGAGGTAACAGTACGATTCTTCCGAGTCTGGGTGGCCTAGCCCTCCCCAAGGCGGCCAAACCCACACAAGCTTTCCTGCCGCTCGGGCTCCCACTCCATATTCACTCTTGAGATGCATTTGAGAGCAAAAGAGGTACTGCGTCCAACCCCCTGGCAACCCATCGCGACATTATAATCACGGATCCCCTGGACCAGACCCCGGTCATGGCGGCCGCGTTCGCCGGACGGCGGGCGGGGAGGGAGAGGCAGGGGGGGGGGGGGGGGTGACGCCACGGCGGTAATAGCCCGTCCGGGTACGGCGGTGCGCCTTGAACGGCACTCTTTCCCGGGCCCATCAGCAGCGCAGGCAGTCATTACCCGACAGCCCAATCGTCGCCTTCCGGGGGGGGGGGGGGGGGGGGGGCAGCTGTGCGAACAGCTTCCGGCTACCGTGTGACGTCACGGGAGCGGTGACGCACTCGTGGTCGAGGGGCTGGTGGTGATGTGACTCGGGCGTTTGGCCGCCCGCCAACAGCCTTGTGTTGGCCGATTGGTGTCAGTGTTGACGCGCCGGCCCATTGACGGCACCAATAAGCTGGCTTTCCACGCCAAGTGGTGTTCTGTTTAATCTGTATGTAGCGTTGTTCTGTATGTTGCGTTGGCTCTATGGACGTCGCCTGAGAACTAACCAAAAATGGCTATCGCCTCCCCTCCCCCCCCCCCCAGCTTGGAGGGCTTCCATCGCCCCTGGGCATGACCCATCCAGCCAGCCTCACCAGGGGCGTGACCGCCGTTACCACCACGCTGTATCGCTGGGGTCCGGACCCAGGTCACGTGTTGGGAAAGTGGACTAATTCTACGTTTTCTTTCACGACAAACAGCGGGACGTCACAGCAGATTAGTTTCCAGTAAATGTTTCATGGGTGCTGAAGTAAATATTGTCCAAACCGCTGAGAGATCAGTCTCAAAAGTGGCACAGACTCATGACCCATGCTTCGGCTTTTTCGGCCCGCGCTTGATCGTCCGCTCCTTTTTGTACGGCCTATCGATGAGAGCGGAAGATGTCTGTCGGGAAATAAGCCTCCGAAGACGACAACACCCGGCGCGTTCCAGAAACAATCAGACACGACGCTCTGATTTCCAGGCGGCTCACTGAGTCGGGACCGACCGCAAAAGCCGAACATAGCCGGCGCCGACCGCAGGCCGTCGGCTGCTCGGAGTCCGCTCCACTCGACGGACTCATTTGGACTCCATTTGAAGTCAGACGCCGCCCCACCTGCCGCCGGTCCTCCTCACCTCCCACGGCGCGTCGTCCCGGGGCAGCGCGCCGCGCCGAATCCTCAGATCTCGCTCGCTGTCGCGCCGGCGCCAATCGCATCCTCACGCTGCTCCTCCGTCTGCCGTCGCCGTGACGTCACGCGCACCACGTGACCGGGCGCGACGGTGGCGCCGCCTACATCGACCGGTCAGCTGACGGCGTCAGTTGGTCGCGGCGCGCGGCGTGGTGTGGCGGGCGTGCGCCGGTCACGACACGGTTGTGGTGGTGGTGGCGCGCTGTTAGGCCCGGCGGTGGTACACTGGTCTGACGGGGTGGACGGCGCGGACATGGTGAGTGGCGCGCGCGACGCACGATGAAGAATGGCGACGAGGGGGAGGAGGAGCCACGCGAGCGGCCTCGGCCGGACGGAACCGTTCAAAGGTACGCCCCGACGCGGCCTCGGCCGGACGGGACCGTTCAAAGGTACGCCCAGAAGCGGCCTCGGGACACCAGGTACCGTTCCGTTCAAACCGTAACCGTTCAAAGGTATGCCCCTAAGCGGCCTCAGCCGGACGGAACCGTGCAAAGGTACGCCCCGAAGCGGCCTCGGCCGGACGGAACCGTTCAAAGGTACGCCCAGAAGCGGCCGCGCCGGCATGACGGAGCGCCGGCGCAGGACGCGGGGCCCTGGTGTCCCGACCCACCGGCGGCCTGAGGGCCGACGTCCTGGTGCCCCGTCCCGGCGTCCTCGCGCTCGTACGTGACGACCTGCTGACGCCGTCGTGCATCGGCGGGCTGCTGTGCCGATGTCCTGGCGGAACCGTCTCCTGATACGCTGGCGTCTCGACGTCCTGGTGTAGCGCACCGATGTCCCGGTGTCGTGGGGCGCTAACGCCCTGTTGTGTCAGTGTCCAGATGCGGCGTTCTCCTGTTGCACTGTGCCGGTGTCCTGACGTCCGTGTCTGCTGGCCATGCCCTGCTGGAATGCAGGTGGGGGCGTTCTGTTGCACTGCGCCGGTGTCCGGGCTTCCGTGTCTGCTGGCCATGCCCTGTTGGGATGCAGATGGGGGCGTTCTGTTGCACTGTGCCGGTGTCCGGACGTCCGTGTCTGTCGGTCATGCCCTGCTGGGATACAGGTGGGGGCGTTCTGTTGCACGGTGCCGGTGTCCGGACGTCCGTGTCTGTCGGTCATGCCCTGCTGGGATGCAGGTGGGCACACTGTCGGCGCCCACACGTCACTCGTGGCAGAGGTGGCGTGCGGACCGCATGATCGGGAACAGACCAGCCTTCCTTCCGATTGTCTGCCATCGATCCGGCCGATTTGCACGGAAGGCACTGGTTACACTGACCAGTGCCGCAGCGCGGCGAAAAGCTGCAAGATCAAAGGCTGATGCCGGACGAGCGGACCGGAAGTGACGTAGTTACAGAAACTGCGAGCCGTTTGCGTCCGTTGTTGTGTTGCGCGCGGCGACGCCGGCGTCGCTCTGGTCCGGGGCCCAAATGTGGCGGAGATGCACGGAAATACAGTCAAAGCAGGGAACACGTCCGCCTTTTTGTCGCCCGCGGAACCGGGGTTCGGTGGTTCGTTGGGTATTCCAGCGGCGCAACGGCGATGGCAGTACCCATATGCGGCCAGTGGACCGCCCGCCTTGGACCCACCCTGATCATGCTGATGAAATTGCTGATCAGACTGACCAGATCTCTGATCAGTCTGACCAGACCTCTGTTAGCGGCCTTCTGGCTTCTGAGACGTCGCCTGTCCGGGCCCGAGACCGTCGGAGCGTCAAGGCCTGACAGAACTGCGCGCTACCGTTTTGCATTGTTCGTTCGGCGGGATTGTTCGGCGAGTGTCCGGTCCCGTCCCGTTCGGTCCCGTTGCCGTCGTCCCGATCCCGTTTTCTTGTTTGACCCGTTGGTGCGGTCCCCGTACGCTCAGCCACATGATCCGGTGCCAAAGCCGGATCATGTGGCAAAGACGGATGCGGAACCTCAGGAAGTGCCAGGCTTCTGATTTCGCCGTGTTGCGTGCGCGGCTTCGCACGCTCCGAACAGCTGACGTGGCTCGTTCCATGCGCTTTGGGTTGGGTTGCCGTGAACAGATATCTCGTCTTTCCACATGTCGGATGATCACGGGGATAATTTTTCATGGTTCTTGTCGGGTGAGAGTGATTTATGACTGTGAGCCGAATAGAAGCAATCAGCCGTTTTTATCTCGCCCCGTTCTGCGCTCAAATCGCAGAGGCCATTATTCACCGGCGTTGTGGGTTAAACATACATCCGTTCAACACGGCTATGCTGACGGCCGTGACGCCGGTTTCAAGCCATTTACCATGCCAAATCGCTTCAGAACTCATGTCACCCAGAACTAGAGGATTTTAGCGCAAAAGGGCACGGACCAGGCGTGGCACACGCTGTTTCGTCTGGAAATCTGCTGTCGCGGAGGTACAGACCAATACAGTAGTTGCTTCACATGGACGGCGGTGGCCTAAACTGCTGCCGTGGAGGTGCCCGCCGCGTTCAGCGCGTGCGTTGTGCTCACACCTCCTCACGCCCGGGTGATCTCTCCTGGACCGGCTCGGGCAGAAACTCCGGTAACGGCTCGCCCACGGCTTCGGAGGCGATCGCGTGGGCGGATTGCCGCCGCGGTGTCGACAACTTGCAGAACGCAGCCGGCAAAAGTCGGCCAAATCCTGCGGTCACGAACGCACCGCAGCGGCGGTGGCGCGGCGGCGCGGCCCACCACTGCCGCCGTCTGCGGCGGCGTCTGCAGCAGCGCTGAGTCACGGCACCGTGGCCAATGAGGGCACACGAGCCCGGCGCGGAGCCGGCGCGGTCAGCGGCCCGGCGTCTGACCGGCGGCGCTGGTCCTCACACGGCAGTGTGCCGACCGTGTTGTGGCCGCGCTGGTGACCTTGGTGACGCGTGGCAGCCGGTGGTCGGTCAGCTGCTGCAGCCGGTGGTCGGTCAGCTGCCGCGCTGGGCGGTGGCGCTGTCGACCGTGTGCGTTGGCGGTCGGGCAAAACAGCTGGCTAGCGCGGACCCCCGGCAAATGCCGTGGCCTTTTAGCGGGACCTATTGCGTTCAGGGGAAGCACAGAGGACGCAGGGATGCTCAGTCTCCGACCAGCTCGTGAATGGCGCCGACAGCCGCTTACGTACACACAAAGCTGACCTCACTCCGAGCATTTACAATGAGGCAGTGCCGCTGTCCAGTCGGTATTCTGGACGGTCTTGCGGCACCGTCCTGGGCAGGCCCGTCCAGAAGGCGCCGCAGCAGTGGGGGATGTGTGGCCCGGCCGGCCGGAACAGACTGGGGCGTGCGGTACTCTTCGTTAGCGGCCGCCGCGCCGGTAGCTCGGAAATTGCCTATGAATATGATGATGTGCGGATTTGATAACCGGGTCAGTCGCCGGCGCAGGTGATGATTACGAAACATGAGGTCACGATACCGGTGGGACAAAGCCGCCGGTCCTTCACGCTTCGTCTCCCCCTCCCCCCCCCCTCCCCGGAATCTCTGCCGCCACGCAGATGCCCGTGGCCGGCTTGCTTTGGTGTCTCTGAATGGCATGAAAGCGAACATTCAAATGCTCGGACATTATCGCTTAGGGGCCTTGCTTGGGCGGGGAGGTTTCCTTGGACTGGTGTTGTTGCGAGGCCGGGGCTGCGATAATGGGCCCTCTCCTGCGGCAGACAGAAGCCCTTTGTGCTGGTCGCTTTCAGCGGCTCTCGCCTCTCCTACGCTCGTTGGCCTTTCTCGCCCCCCCCCCCCTCCTCTTGCTCTCGCTCCTCCTGACCCCGGCTCCTCCCTCTCCCTCCCATCCCTTCCGGCTCCCACTTCCCTTTCCTTCCGTTCTCTCCCTCTCCCTCTCTTTCTGTCTCTCCCGCGTCGGAAGCCGACAAGCCTCCCAGAAGAAGGATAGACATAGTCGTCCCCAACTTTTGGTTGCATAATTTTGTCCCAACTCTACCGCGTGTCGTCGTGTGCACTGCAAAGCTTCCTCTTCCTTATGTTCGTGACCGCGCCGCGGCCCCTCACTCTGTGCCTGCTCCGTGCGCGTCCTCCTGTCCCTGCTCCCTCCTCCCTGCTCCTGCTCCCTGCTCCCTAATCCTGCTCCCTGCTCCCTGCTCCTGCGCCAGTGAGTCGCGCCACGACCCACCCCGTCCCGTGTCGACCCGGCTGACTACTGACCCCGTGACTGACCGTGAGGCCATGTCACGACCCTCTCCGTGACGGGCCGTGATCGCGTGGGGGGCCTTCACGACTCCGACGACTAACGCCGCGTCGCCGACGTCCCGCGATGCACGCGATATGGGTCACGGCCGCTGTCGGCGGAAACGCCCGCCGCTCGGACGAACGGCAGCGGCGGGACCGTCTCTGAACGGAGGCTGTCAGAGTCGCGAGGCAGGTCCGGTCCCACAGCCGATCAGGGTCGATTTCGTCCAGGTCGCTGGTGATCCTTGGGAGCAAGAGGAGTCGCAAACCAGAGTGGAGACCGGCCAGGTGACCGGTAATCCTCGGAAGCATGGTCGGCCGTCTTGGTGTTGGTCACGGTATAAGCGCTTGAAGCAGGCTCCATTCGTGCCTGGGAACTACTCGAGCTATTCTCGCGAATCGCGGGAGTAATCCGGGTAAATTCTGGAGATGCTCCTTCGTTGAATCATGGCTGAAGCTCCTTTAAGAAATCCGTTTGATGTTGCATCGTCATGAATCGCGGTACACGCTCGTCTCGTCGACGTTGAGATGTGGCGAAGACTTCCGGATGAGCGCCGTAAGTTCCGTCTCAGCTGTAACGGCTCTGTTCAAAAGCCGTGCTGGACTCTTCATACCACCCTCGCCGGCTCAAACAGCGGTCGTCCGGTGCCGTTAGCTGGCCGTCGGCGTCGTCCCGCCCCGCTCCGTCTCCGCCGAGAGTGGCGCGTGCGCCAGCCTGTCCTCCCGCGCCGCCGTCGCCGAGGCGCGACGAGGCTCAGGCGGCTCCCGGTGGCTCCTGGCGCTGACCCCCGGGCGTGCTGGGTCAGGTACTGACCTCTGGGCGTGCTCGGTCAAGTACTGACCCCGGGCGTGCTGGGTCAGGTGCTGACTCCCGGGCGTGCTGGGTCAGGTACTAACCTCTGGGCGTGCTCGGTCAGGTACCGACCCCCGGGTGTGCTGGGTCAGGTACTGACCCCCGCTTTGCTGAGTCAGGTACTGACCCCCGGGCATGCTGGGTCAGGCGCTGACCTCCAGGCGTGCTGATCTCGGTACTGACCCCGGGCGTGCTGGCGCCGGTACTACCTCCGGGCGTGCTGGCCTCGGTACTGACCTCCGGCCGTGCTGGCCCCGGTGCTGACCCTCGGGCGCGCTGGGTCAGGTACTGACCCCCGGTTTGTTGGGTCAGGTACTGACCCCCGGGCGTGCTGGGTCAGGTGCTGACCCCCGGGCATGCTGGCCCCAGTACTGAC